TCTACTATTCTGAAAACCCTAATTTCACTACTGTTCGAATCTTCTCGGATCTTTATAGATCTGAAGTGATTCGAGTATTATTGGGTGTTTTCCTTTAAAAATCTCTTGGTTTAATTAATTATTTCGACTTCGTTTACTCTTTCTGAAATTAGGGTTCATCCCAGACTTTTCTTCAAAGATTTTTCTAACTTCTCAGTGTTTTTATTAATTGTTTCTTCACTATCTGGACTAATTTTCGCATGCATGCTCAAACCCTAGATGATTCTGTGTGTTATACTGATTTCTTCGATTTTGTTTCGATATTGTGTTTATCTCCGTGAGCCAGCCATATTAACTTATTCTATTTAGAGACCTAAATGATTTTCCCTGTTAAAATCAGTATTTTGTGGAATTTCTTTTTTGATTGATTTATGTTAAGGATCTGAACGATCTTCTTTCTTGTTAAAATCAGAACCCTTTGGGGATTCTTACTTGGTTGATTTCTATTTAAGGATTCAAATAATTCTTTCCTATGAATCAGTACTCTTTGAAGATTTTTACCGATTTTTCCTATTAATTGCCTTGTTAAAATCAGTGTGCTGGGATTTTACTGGCTTCCTTATTTGTGACATGCTTCCCTATTTTTTCTTACTGCCTTAATTAGTCGAGAGTAGTTTGGGGATTTTTACTGACTCCCTACATGGTATGATTTTGATCCATTGCCTTAATTGAACCCCCTGTTATGACCGTTAATTGCCTATTCCCCAATTAAAGGGGTCTTTCCCGGATTTCCCTATAGAAATTGATTTTGTGATTGGTTGATTGATCCCTAATTGATTGAACTCTGATTCTCTTTACCTTATTTGCCCTACTCCCTAAGTGCTATATATACACTCTCATTCTGCCTCTCAAAGGGACGAACAATAGTTCAATACACACACACAAACATAGAAAATATACAAAGTTCTTGCTCTCTTCCTCTATCACAATCTTCTGCTCTTTACTGCTACATTGTCTAGCCGGCTAGAAGCCAGGTCTAGACCTTTGGACCTTGTTTGTTTCAGTCTTCTACTCTGAATTCTTAACCGGTATGCCTCCACTTTACTATCATGCAAACCTCTGTATGATTTAACTTGTGTACTTCCTATTCCCAACATGTCCACTTTCATGTTATTAAATCAATAGGATCTGTATATCAGCCTGCCTATCTTTAACTAGACCTATGTGCTTCATGTTTATTGCTCCTAATCAGCATGTGTTCTACCATTCAATCAGACTATATGCTTCCTGCTATTCAATTTAACCTATGTGTTTCCTTATAATCAGCATGCCTTTCTTTTGATTAAGCAAACCTATGTGTTTACTGCAATAAGCATGTATACTTTTGTTCAACCTATGTGTTTACTGCAATAGCATGTCTACTTCTGTTTGATTGAACCTATATGTATCCTGTTTTCAACCTATTTACTCTTGTTTTAGCTAGACCTATGTGCTTCTGCTCTCAACAAGTCTGCATACTCGCTCATATATAAACTAGACCTATGTCTGTTTATTTCTCCGCTAGCATGTTCTTTCTATCTTATGTTCACCTCTCACAGGCTTCTGAACAACATTGCTCCTAAGCCCTGCTATCCCTTTGTATGTGACTGTATGCTCACCTAGTAACAGTTAATAAACTAAGTTGAAAATCTAAGTGATCTTGTTCCTGTATATTGTTTGATTGCTGGGACCTTTGTTTGAGTCACTAGAATTGAGTGACCCTGTTTGCTCCTTACTTCCGGAGAATCCAAAACTATTTTCTTAAAAACTATCTCCTGTTTTCAACTCCTATTCTTAGAACACCTAGGGTCTTGCCCCTCCAGTGCGAGCATTGCTTAGGAGTCTATGAGACTCCTCTGAACTTTGACACACTGGGGTTGGCTTTCCAAACTTGCTCACGAAAAGGGTTGCTTTGAAAGTTTTTTTCTGGTGTGAGCATTGCTCGGGGTCCCTGAGGCCCTTGGGAACTTTGACACACCAGGATACCATTAGATGCACTATGAGAATATTGACATGTTCATACTTGGTTGACGGCCTGATTTTTCAGGTTTATTGTTTGGGCCTGTTCAGGCTCCATATAGTTGTAGCAGTTTCACTTCTGTAATTCATTATTAATGTTGGTTTGTAATAATAATTTCTTTATAAACAGATGTTGGGGATATTAGTGAAACTGGGAGGGGTTCTTATACATATCCTGTTGGGAAAGAGTAGATACCGTGCCCATAGGTTGTTATAATGTTTGTTTATTTAGATACCATGCCTAAATGGTTTAAAAAATCGATCTTGCATTCTAGATAACATGCTTGTAAGTTTGCTGCGATGTTTGCTTGTGTACATTCAGGTACCATGCCCTTGAATCAGTCCTGCATTCTAGATACCATGCCTATAGGGGTTTAAAAATCAATCTTGCATTTTAGACACCATGCCTGTAAGTTTAAAAAAAATTAGTCTCTACATGACAACAAGGTTTAAATCAGTTTTCTGCATGTCATAAGGTTTTAAAGCTAATTGCTGCATTTAGATGCCATGTCCATAGGATTTTAAAAACCAATTCTTTTGCATTTAGCCACCATTGTCTATAAATTTAAAACCAGTTCCCACAACTAGACAGCATGCCTATAAGGTTTAATCAGTTCTCGCATCTAGATACCATGTCTATAAGTCTAAAGTCCGTCTCTACGCCTAGACAGCATGCCTACAGGATCTAATGAACCACACTGCCTGCTTAAAACTGTTTTGCTCGTTTATTGCACTTCTGATTAATGACTAGATACCATGTTTATAGGACATCACTGTTACGCGCCTAGGCAAGCATGTAGGGTGACTGAAATCCTGCAAACTGTAAAACTGTGCTTTTGTTATTTATGAATCATCCAGATTCAGCAAGCCCTAAAATCAGTAGGCAAACTGATTAGGTCTCTACTACCTTGCTTTAATAAAACACTACACATACTTTGTTTGTCATGCTCACCTAGATATTTTGCTCTAGGATCCTGTGGAATATCTGAAATCTTGTTGTTTGAGACGTGATATTATCTGCTTGTGTGAGGAGGTAAAAGTGAGCCTTTAATTGTCTCTTTATGTGAATGTCCTATTTGTTCTTGCTTGTTGCTTAGATTTTTCCTTTCAAGCACTTTAGGAGAGTCTAGAACTGCCTTATTAGAAGTCCTAAACACCTCCAGGGCCATAAGGAAGGGACGAGTAATGCACGCATAGAGCACGTTTAATTAGAATCGCTTATATAACCACTAAGGGAGGGTAATTGGGTAGTAAAGGATATGATGACCGGTGCGCTAATGCTATGTGTAGCACCCCAACTTGGGGACGATTACCAAGCATTGTACAGAAGTGATCCTATAGGTTAAAGAACCTAGGACCCCTTTACTCCTTGTTTTAAGTATAATATCCATTTGTCTAAATTGCTTTATCTGTTTATAAGACTAATTCACATAATTTGAGTTCGGCCGGGACCCACCATTGTGGACCGCGAGGGGTGCCTAACACCTTTCCCTCAAGGTTATTTCGAGCCCTTACCCAATCTCTGGTAATGCAAACCGGTTTTATGAGTTACTTGCTTTAGGTGCCCTAACGCACCTTAAATCCGTTAGGTGGCGACTCTTCAAATTCCGTACCCAATTCCCAAAAGGAAATGAGTTGTTCCCAATGAATGTCGAAACCCGGACTCCGCGAGGAAGAAAGGGGGCGCGACACATTACTATACCTTGTTTGGTATAGTTTTTCAACATGTGTATAACTAATACTCGTATTAGTTATACATCATACTTGGTATTATCCTATGCATAAGTAATGCATAGAAAACCATGGCATTAGCAATAAAAGGCTATTACTGCATGCATTAGTATGGTTAAAGACAAAATTATCCTTAAAGTCCCTTAAAGCTAGAGAATATGAAGGACAATTCTGTAAACAACTATTTTTCTTAAAAATTATGCAATGCATTATAATTTTAACACACCACACCAAACAGTAGATAAAAAATAACATCTACATACAAATACTTGCATTACTAGTCCATGCATTGCTAATACACCTTATTCCGCACTATTTTATACACCCTACAAAACAACCCCTAAATGAGCTAGGCAGGGATAGTTTGCTACCAAAAGACGTGTATGGTAGTCTTTTGTTTTTCGAATAAGAACAGAGTGAATTTTATTCGATTGAATCTATGTGATAATTCTAAAAGAGTCCAAGTCAATTATATAATTCTATATATTCATATCGTAATACGTCCTCAAAGTGACACATTTCGATGAATTTAGCGGTTAGAAAATCCATCGTAAAAGTGATAAGCTTTGACACTAACCTTTTGCTTATACTCCCTTTTTTTTTAGGTACTGGTAAGCAACAAGCAAAACATCTAATTGCTCAAGAAATCATGTAATTCCCTGTGATCAATCGCAGCAGATCTTGGTTGAAGGGCAATAAATAACTTATAACTTAATTCTCGCATTTATTTTTCGCTGGTTATGGTAATGAGGAATGAGAAAATGCTACATCAAGAATCACTTTGTGCAAGGATTGAGAAAATGCTAGACTCAGAGATCTAAAATTGGTCAATGGAAACCTAATAAATAGCTAGGTATTAAGAATTACTCCCTCCGTACACTTTTACTTGTCCACTATGGACTTTACACACCCCTTAAGAAATAATAAATGAAGTGCACAATTTACTACGGTACTCACATTAATTGATGCACATTTTTAATGAATTTGAGAAAATGATTTGAAATGTTGTAGGTATAACAGTTAAAAAGAAATTGTGTTCTCTTGATATGCTAAAAATGACAAGTAAAAGTAAAAATTTATTTTTAGAATATTGGACAAGTAAAAGTGTACGGAGGAAGTACATTCACAAATAGATTTAGAAAGGGGAAGATTACTTAGTTGTAATAAGTCAAAATGATGTTACCTAATACAGCAATAAAGATTACTTTGTTGTTACGATTCATAAACCAATATCACAGCAAAATAGCAATAACTGTATGCTAATCGACTTGATCTCCCAAAATATGAAATGAGCAAAGACTCTTCATATACCTCTCCCAAATACAAGTCCATGAATCTTTAAGGGTAAAACGAACAGAAACCCAAAATAAATCCAAGTACAAATTGTTTTTTTGAACAAGATATCAAAGTTCAGTTTCTGAAAGATCTAATACCGCCAAGAAACTACAAGTCAGCAGCAATAGAAATTTACATCTACTTAATCTTCTTTTTAGGCCTCAACTGCAACCCCAAAAAAGCAACTCAAATTATTCAGCAATCATTGTCAGCTAAACAAAGTGTCAATTTAAATTTTATCAAGGAAATGAGGTTAAAATTAAGTAATTGATGATTCTAACCTGGTTGCTGTGTCCACACTTCTTCTTGCGGCAGTTGACAGCACGAGGATGCAATCGAGCATAGCACCTTTAGGTATTTTTAAAAGGTATGCATTAGAAACAACTACTGGAAAAGAAGAAAAAAGAACAAGAACAGCATGATGACAACAAATATTAGCAAACAGCCAGAAGGAATAACCGACATAAAATTGGAGATTTGTGTGTTACAGGACAATATCCCTTTGCTAGCGGCCATAAACATGTAAAGACACAATGCTTGTCCATTGAATTTCTACTCACTTTGAACAGTGAAAATCCAAGGTACGGATACGTTAACGTGCCAGAACTTTGTCGATTTTGAGGAGCAATCGAGCATTTCATAAATGCTTTTAAAAGGATAGTGTTACTAAAAGTTTGGATACCTTACAAACAGACCACAAAAAATTAAACCCGCAATCATCAGTATTCAGCAATACATCAACTTCAACTTCAGGAGAAGTGAAGATAACTTGGATGCAAATCACAACATCCAAACCCAGCCAGATGGTATAGGTGCTAGAAACATGAAGTTCAATTTTGATGAGACAGTCACTTCTGTTGCTGTTTATGAGAGTACACTCACTTTGACGAGAATTTATTTTTTTTACGTTCACTACAACTATGACTAGTTGTGTTTGTCTTGATTAGCAAAACGGAAATTGAAGTTGATGGATTGCTGAATACTTCATCTCTCTCTCTCTACAACCACCCGCCATCACCCTCTTGGCCCATCTCAATCTCCTCCCACCCCATCCTCTTGAGCAAAGAATCACCACCATCACCCTCTTGACCCATCTCAATCTCCTCCCACCCCATCCTCTTGAGCAAAGAATCACTATAAAAATACAATCCTTACAAAAAACATAACAAATCGAAGTGCCAGAAAAAACACTAAGACACCTCTAACTATAACCCAAAAGCTATTGACTCATTTTCCTCCATTCATAGACACAATAAAAACCAAAAACACCTCAAACTATAAAAACATTTAAGTAGTTAATCCCAAATAAAAAAGATCATATCTTTTTATGAACTGAAAACATAAGAAATACTACAAGATAATTTTCTTTGAGCACACAATAAAAATACAACACAACAATGTATCCAGAAAAGCACCAACACCAACTACAGTCAAGCTCCTGAATTACAAGTATTTCAAGTTCAAAGAACAATTCAACAACAAACAATTCAATCAAGTCCAAGAAATGGTGTAATAACCTTCGCGGTACTTCAAGGCCCGTCTACAGTTTCAACAAGTTTACACCCCGACAAAGTTTATTGAATTTAAATTCATAAAATAATTTGGACTGTTTTAACCCTCAGGGGTTGGCCTGATGGCAATAGACTTGAGCCTTGGGGTTTGCTCCCTTTCAAGGTCTCAAGTTCGAAACCCACTGGGTTCAAACAATTTCTGAGGGCCATCGGACTGGGTAAAACCTGAACTAACCGTGGTGCACTTGCGGGAAACTCCTTGCCGAGGGCATGTGCACCCCCGGGATTAGTCGGGGCTCTTAGAGACTCGGACACCCGGTGCAAATCAAAAAAACTAATAATTTGGACTGTTTTAATTTCAAGTTATACTAGTCCAAATAAATATTGTGGCCTAATATATGGATTAAATATTTAAATCCAATAGACATGAATTTAATTAAAAGCCCAATTTTGATGGGCTAAACCCTTATTTGTGCTCCAGATGATGAGCTCACTTTGTTAGACAAAGATTCCATCTTATCCTAAAGGAGTGAATTAGTTCCGCGTGTGACACACCAAATCAAAAAGATCATGCCACATGACGACATGCCAAGTCAAATTGACTTCGTAAGGCAAATGAAAATGTATCATGTGTACACTTGACATGTTCTAGCCAATCAAATGCGGCCATGTTATTGCTACAATATGATTAGCTGATGAATTAAGCCAACCAATCAAGTCAAATCAAAGAAGTAAGCCCTCATCACATCTCTTCACTTCTGCGGCTATAAATAGGGATCATCACAGCTATTCGCTTCTGCGACTATAAACAAAGGTCCTTAATGGCACAGAGGAAAAAACAAAAATCACTATAAGAAGAAGCACGTGAGAGCACTAGAGATCAAAAACCTCAAGAATTTCTCTAAGTTGCAAGTACACAAACATTTTTGTATTTATTTCAACTATTGAAGATTAAGAACGAAGACAAATCAAATATTAGAGATTTAAGGGTCTTGTGTTTTGCACCTCTAACATATGCATTTTTTTTATAATTTGCACCGCATCCTATTTTTTTAATAATTTATGGCTTGAGTCACCGACCAAACATATTAAAAATGTGACAAGGCCACATTGGACAGAACATGTCACGTGTAGACACGGTGCATTTTCATTGGCCTGATGATCTGACTTGGCATGGTCATGCTATGTCATTTGGCATGTAGTATGACCATATAGGCTCCTTGACTTAGCGTGCCACGCCATTTGACACATGACACGTGTTTGGCCCTCTAGGATAAGATGACATATTGGACCACAAAGTGGGCTCATTATTTTAATCAACTTATGTTCCAGGAAGATACTTATATGTTCTTCTCTCCCTTATTTTCCTAAAGAGGAAGTATCCAATGTGATGCTCTGCAACAACAACAATCACCTTGCTCAAAAGTTGTCAGCTTTAATCCACAAATTATCCTCTCAATACTCACCAAATGGAAGTTCAAGTCGTTAAAAGTCCACGTCAGATTCCCTACAAACCACTAGTTCAAAATCTTAGCGCTAGTATCATGATAAACACTTACGCATGCGTTGCGCCAAGCCTACTTGTGAAGAGAAGAGTCGTCGGGCTATTGCGGAGTGAAGGAAGGTGTCTTGTCTTGGCCTAGGCCTACTTGTGTCAACACCCATAAAGTTTCAATAAAATTATCACAGCAATCATCACATCTTCACAGCTACTGTTTATTACTAGTAGCTGTGATTTCTATGCATACGATTTCCATCGGTCAGCCTTGAATGGTGGAGCACAACTTGTCTTTTGTGGGGGTGGGGCCAGCGCCATCGAGGGATAATTAACTTATGTTTCAGGGAAATTCTTGACAGCATGTTCTTCTCTCCCCTCTTCTCCTAAAGGCAAATATCTGATATGACACTTTGCAACAGTAACAACTATCTTACTCAAGAATCGACTGCTTTAATCCACAAAGTATGATTCTTAAATAAGAGCAAAAATCTAATATATCAGGGACAGCTTGTTCTTATCTACCCATTTCTCCTAAAGGTAAAATATCCAATATGCTCTGCAACAGTAACAATCATCTTACTCACGATTTGTCTGCTTTAATCACAAATTATGTTTCTTATATTTAATGCTTAATAATCAACTTATGTTTCAGGGAAATACTTGGCAGCATGTTCTCCTCTCCCCTCTTTTCCTAAAGGCAAAGTATCCAATAAGACACTCTGCTACAATCATCTTACTCAAGAATTGTCTGCTTTAATCGACAAATTATCCTCTCAATGTTAAAAGTGAAAGTCAGATTCCCCACAGACCACTAGTGCAAAATCTTAGCAGAAGTAACATCATAAGCATAATGAAAGAGAGAGTGCAAAAAAAGAGCTACTCATATGTTTATCACAAAACCTACTGATTCAACAATAAAAGGTACATTAGGGAGCCTACTTGCGGCATATCATCTTGTCCTGATTGTATTTCCTAGCCAAAGCCATCAACGATGGCTCAATGATTCCACCACGAAGCCTCAACACCAAATGTAGAGTCGATTCTGCATTTATTGAATGCAACAAAATAAAACTATTAACTTTCACTTCAGTTAGGGCATAACTGTGACATTCGAAAATCTACATAATGAATTTGACCTTAATTAGTAACAAATTCTGTGATCTTAGTCTCTCTATTTAAATTCAACAAATCTAATGAATTTCTAGTTTCTAAACCATGTGACTACTCATCTTTTAAGCTAACAGAATATAATTACATAGTATTTACTCTTAATTTAAATTATTGAAATTTTACAATTCTATTAATTGAATGGTAAAAATACATAACAACTTACCTTTTTGGATGTTGTAATCGGCCAAGGTGCGGCCATCTTCGAGCTGCTTACCAGCAAAAATCAGCCTTTGTTGGTCCGGTGGAATTCCTAAATCAGCGCAAAAACATAAAAGCACGAACTTAATAAAATAAAACAAAATAAAAAGCATAGAAATTAGCAAATGAAGATGTTTAGAAACAAGTTTTGTAATACTACCTTCCTTGTCTTGTATTTTGGCTTTAACATTGTCGATTGTATCACTGGATTCAACTTCGAGAGTTATGGTTTTACCAGTGAGAGTTTTCACGAATATCTGCATTTTCGTTACGAGCTTCGCCTTCCTTCTTCCTTCAGCTCCTCGCGTTTTTCCTCACATCTTGAGATGTATTTATATGTAGGGTTTAGTGGCGGCTGATGCCCGTTGGGCTCGGAAGGGATGGGGCTTTAAGTCATTTTGATCAAACTTTGGGCTGAAATTGACTTATCAATTCGGCTGCAACCCAAGCTAAACGCATTTAATAATGGGATTTTTACCTAGCTATACTATATTAGAAACTTATTTATCAATATTCTCTATATTTTGTAGTTTTTAATAAGTATTTAGGTTTTTCTTACAAATTGTGTAGATTTCACCTTAAAAGTCTCTCATCCCTTTATTAGTGCCTTCAATTAAGGTATTCAATTATATCCTTTCTTTTTTCCCTTTCCTCTTCTCTATCCTTTTTGTTTTACATCAAAATCCCTTAATCTACACCCAGAATCTCCATCTTCTCTCTTCTCACCATTGGCGACAGCTTTATATCATTAAATCATCAATTGCATCGTTCTTTTGTTGGGAGACCGGACAACATTGAAAATGAAAAATATTCAGGGATTGTATGATAATTGTATCGTAATTGTATTTGAATTGTATCAGATATATCAATGCGTAAAACATAATTGTATCATACTTGTATCACAATTGTATCTAACTTGTAGATTGTACATCAAAATAATACCTGATACAATACTAATAAATTAATATATAATTATCATATATTTGTGATATATACTGTGGAATTCGTCATGAACCCATAACTACTCATTATTCAGATACAAATTTGATACAATCTCGAAAGTATTCTTACACAATTCTGATACAACTTAAAACCGATTCTGAACTTAAACTAATACAATATCGTATTATATTTGTATTAGCATTGTATCATATATTATTTTAGGTACAAATTGTGATATAATTATGATACAATTCTAGATTATGATATTGATCTTCATTTTTTTCAAGTTTCAATTTAAAACATCCACCTAGAACCAACTCTAAACTTAAATTATCATACAATGTTGTATTTTAATAGTACTAGTACTGTATCAGGATGTCTTAGTTATTGACGTATCAAATACAACTCAGATACAAATATGATACATTTATCATACAATCGTAATACAATTCCGAAACTTCTTCTTCCTCGAGTTTCAATCAGAAATTCAACCTAAAATCAACTTTAAACTTAACGAATCTCCCTTAAAACTGAGATATAAACTCTAAAGGATATTTTCAATCGTTTTCAAGAACACCCAATCCAAAAAAATAACAAATTCGTAAAATCTGAATATCTAATTCAAAGCTTCAAAGCTTTTAAATGGTATGTACATGGCAGACCCCTACACCTACAATTCAGAGATAATGTTGATGGATTGTCAATAGTTGAAGCTTTTTAATGGTGTTGGTGGAATTGATTCAGAGAAATATATGATAATACAATTTTAGAAAGATAATAGTTTGATTTATCTGAGAAAGAGAGAGAGAGAGAGAGAGAGAGAGAGAGAGAGAGAGAGAGAGAGAGAGAGAGAGAGAGAGAGTAGAGTAGTAGTAGTAGTAGTAGTAGTAGTAGTAGTAGTAGTAGTAGTAGTAGTAGTAGTAGTAGTAGTAGTAGTAGTACGTAGTAGTAGTAGTAGTAGTNNNAAAGAGAGAGAGAGAGAGAGAGAGAGAGAGAGAGAGAGAGAGAGAGAGAGAGAGAGAGAGATTGGTTGATTTGTATGAAAAAGAGGGGATGATTTTGGGTATCTGTGGGTTTCTTACGGTGAGTAAGTACAAAGACAAATGATGTTTCGTAATCCTTTGAAAAATAAAGAGTATCTTAAATGTAGGGGGATTATGTGTAACTGATACCTAGTATGTAAGGTATGTTTCATTTCCTCCTTTTTATGATTTTGTATAAAAATAGTAAATATAGGTATATAAGTAATTAATAAGGAACCTAAATAAAGGTAGTAAATAGGTTTCTATTATAGTATAGCTAGGTAAAAGTTTAACTTAAATAGTCAGTAAAATAGCGGGCAAATGAATACCATATGTATAATTTATATATAACCGTATATAATTATGGAATAATCTATGTATACTGATTAGAATAATAAATAGTGACTTCGATCGGCTATTTTATAAATATCTCTTATAAAAGGTAGAAATGACACCCGTTAGCCGCTTTGAGCACCCATATCTAAAATATACTTAATTTCTAAAATATATAAAATTTAGCTGGTTTTGCTATATATAAAAAAAATTAATTGTTTGTTATAAATAGAGTTCTATTTATGGTGAATGTCTGTCTTTAGAGAGATTCTAGGGTTTATTACTTGGTGGCTAAGTCACCCTCTCCCTATAAGTAGAGGGTTCTATTCTATTGTAATTCATCCCAAAATTCAATAAAAATTTCATCTCTCTCTTTCTCTGCAATATTGCTCCTGTTCTTTTATTGTTTTATAACACGTTATCAGCACGAGACTCTACCGTCTCAAGAAGCTCTTTGAGAAGATTAAGGTAATTTTTCTCCTCTTTTTAATTATGACTGACATTATGAAAAGAAAGTTCGTTGCCCTTGAAATTTCGGGCAAGAACTATATGACATGGGTGTTGGATGCTGAAATCCATTTAGATGCAATGGGTCTTGGAGACGCCATTAAAGACAAAACTAAAGCATCCACCCAAGACTGTGCTAAGGCCTTGATTTTCTTGCGTCATCACCTTGATGAAGGGTTGAAAATAGAATATCTCACAGTCAAAGACCCACTTGTTTTGTGGAATGGCTTAAAGGAAAGATATGACAACTTAAAGTTGGTCACCCTTCCACAAGCACGATATGATTGGGCTCATCTGAGGCTCCAAGACTTTAAGTCTGTTTCTGAATATAATTCTGCGATGTTCAGAATTACTTCTAAATTGAAACTCTGTGGAGATACTATCACTGATTATGATATGCTTGAAAAAACGTTCACAACGTTTCATGCCTCCAATATGGTCTTGCAACAGCAGCACAGAGAGAAAGGTTTCAAGAAGTACTCTAAGCTGATTTCTCTTCTCCTTGTGGCTGAGCGAAACAATGACTTGCTCATGAGAAATCACGAAAATCGACCCACTGGGTCTACACCATTGCTTGAAGTGGATGAGGTGTATTCCTATTATGCTAAGCGTGGAAAAGGCCGTGACTCTATTCGTAGTCGTGATCGTGGTCATGGTCGCAGCCGTGGCCGTAACCGTAGACAAGGAAGAAATTTTCCTGGTGTTAATCATCCCCCAAAGAGAAATAACCACCAAAAGTGGAAAGGGAAAGATGAGAAGCCAAAAGCAAATGGTTCAGAAACTGAATGCTATCGTTGCGGTGGAAAAGGGCATTGGGCAAATATTTGTCGTGTACCAAGATATTTGGTTGAGCTTTATCAAGCATCTCTAAAGAATAAAGGCCCTGAAGCCAATTTTATCTCTGACAATGATTTTGACATCACCCACTTGGATGTGGCATACTTCTTTGAGCGCCCTGATGGAAAAATAGACCACTTGATCGGTGATGGATCCGTGGTTAAAGATAATTGAGTAGTTTAATTTTTATTTTTGCCTATTCGTAGTAGATAGTGAATAAACATCATGTAATTATAGTTCTTTACATGAGTGGCAGTCATTAGTATCAATTAGTATTATTTATTTTATGTAATTATGTTAGTTCGTTTCGATTAAATATAGTCCTAGTATTCGTTTTAAAGAATGTTCCAGTTTATTTAGTCTTCTGGTTTCGTTTTAAACAACGCGTGCTCCTTAAAAATGTTGGAACACTTTGGTTGCTGTTGGTAGTAGTAACACGTTAGTATACATATGTTGTGCATTCATGCATATATATGTAATACACAGAACTTATTCTAGCGTGTGAATATATTGATAATAAAATTGTTATTTCATAATACAGTATGTATTGTAAACCATCAATGACTTTGTAAACTTTGTATGTATGTGAATATATGACTAACTTATTTTTTAAAGCTAAGAATTATAGTCCAGTTGTTATCATCAATTTTTAGCTATAAGTAAATTATAAACTGTATAAACATGTTTCGCAAGTGATTTGCACACTTGATCACTTAAATTATTATAGTTATTTTTTTGTTGTTGTTTATTTTACGATATTGTGATGGTATAACCATCTTGATATGAATGTATAATTGTTTAATGTAATTAGTGTTGATACTTAGAAATCGGGAAACGGTCCATTCATTCAATTTTTTTTATTAAATACAAAAATAAATAACTTGCACATATAAATAAATTTATTGTAGTTGTATTATTCATATGTGTAAGTGTATTCACAGTTGTACTATTTTTAGCTACATAATTGTTCGTATTATAATTAGTGTTTGCTCGAAATTACATTAAAGGGTTTGATTAACTTTATTTCTTTCCTTTATAACTGAAAATACTAATATTATTCGTATATTTCTTTTGTGTGTCAAACAATTGGAAGCAAATATGGATACCTCACAAAACAAACTTGGATCAAAGTTCTATTGTAAAAATATTTGTTTAGTTGATTCATGTACAACACATACAATATTCAAAGAGAAGAAATATTTCTCTCATTTAAGTATGTGTAAGGCAGATGTTACTACAATTTCTGGCAGTAGTAAATTAATTGAAGGCTCTGGAAGAGCTACTATAACTCTGCCTAAGGGAACAATACTTATCATAGAGAATGCAATGTTCTCCTCCAAGTCCAAGAGGAACTTGTTGAGTTTTAAAGATATCCGTCGAAATGGATATTATATTGAGACAATAGATGAGAATAATCTTGAATATCTCATTATTACCAAGAATGTCTCTGGCCAAAAGAGGGTTATTGAGAAGTTCCCATCTTTATCTTGTGGCCTGTATTGGACAAGAATTAGTGCAATTGAGGCACATTCTACCGTAAACCAAAAGGTTATTGATTCCAATACTTTTGTACTTTGGCATGATCGATTAGGACACCCTGGATCAATTATGATGAGACAAATTATAGAAAACTCAAATGGGCACCCATTAAAGAATTTTAAGATTCTTTTAAATAATGAATTTTCTTGCACT